GGTCGGGGGAGCATCAATCGCAAGGGAGCCTCCCCATGTACTCGTCGGGTGGAGTGCCTACATCTGACGATGAGGACGAAGAACGGGCAAGTCAGGCTGATCGAGATGAAGAGTACGACCCTTAGGATTATCATACGGTGCATAGGGGTCAGCATGGGAGATTTGTTAGTAGTAGTCAAGCGAGTCAGCATTCCACCAGCTCAGCAGAGACATGGGTAGTGCAGGAGCCGATGCCAAGTGGTCTTGAGGATGGTACCGTTATCCCTAGTTTTGGTGGTCACGTGGCTGCATATATATGGGGCGGGCAGGAGCGTAATGTTTTGTGCTGCTTGAGCAAGACACAATTGTGTTCTGCATTGGTTACCTGGCAAGGTCGTCTTGCACAGGAGCACCTGGAATTGATTGATGGTAGTGGTCTATCTCACTTACCCGGTATCCTTGCGCCTGTACCTGCAAAACAACGGAGACTCCTTGTGGCGGGAGCTCCGCCTCCGACGGTCAAGTTAGTACTTGTTTGAGGAGTAAATAAATGCGGAAAAGTAAAGGTGGAAGATCTGGTTCCTCAAGGGGAGGAGTGATTAGTGTGTGTAGTTATCTCTAGGTGAGAGTAATTAATTGTTGAATCCCCTTTAATGAGGATTAATTAATGTATTTATAGTCTTGGGGAGCGTGCCCAATCCTAGGTTTAGGTCAACCTAGAGCTGATTGGGCTTTTCCCGGAAACTGGGCCTAGGTGGCCATTTTCCTAGGTGGAAAACAGCAGGCCACTTGGCGTGGCATGATTGGTCCTTAGTGGACAAATGACTGTGTGCCACGTGGCAGGCCCTGAGAGGTCCAGATGGAGGACACTTGGAAGGACCTGATTGGTTCATGTGGCGTACACTGATTGGGCGGGGAAAACCCCCTAATCACGTTCCATATGCCATTTGGGGAGATCACGATCATGCTGCACGATGTGTACCATATTCTTGGGCTTCATGTTGATGGTTCCATGGTTTCCACTACTCCCAGCACGGACGTCATACGGGACGTGTGCTCGATTACCATGGACATGACTGCGGAAGAGCTGAATGAGAAGTGCGGTACGAAAACCATTTGGCAGGGTAGTAGGGTGCTGACCGAGAGAATTATGGACTCGACCTTGGAGGCGTAAAGGCCCTTTAGTGTCCATTACAGTGCCTACATGTGGTTAGTACTATTAGGTTTTCAGCAATTCAACACAATAGGAATTACTTAAAAATGGTGGAGCAAAACTTAAGTAGAGTATAATTCAATCAAATTATAAAATAATCAATACTAGTTAAAGTATTACATTCCAAGCACCAAATATCAAAGTAATCAGAAAATTACAAGGAAAACTCTAATGTAAAAGATACTAAAACTTGCCTCTACTCCAAGCCAATGAAATCACCAAGAACATGAGAATACAATGGACCACGTGAGTCTTCAATACCAGATACTTGTCTAAGGCGTGTAAACACTTTCCTAAAGTGATTATTTCCCCCACCACGGTGCTTGGGTTGAAACCGGAAAATCACTTTGAGATACAACAAACAACACTACAATCTTTGCACTTAAATTTGTAGTAAGATGATCAAATTCTCAAAGAATAACTTAAGTGATAGAGATTTCTATAACAGATTGCAAGTTTTTTAGAGAAAAGTGTGAAGAAAAGTGAAAACTTGGAGAGGAAAATCAGAGAGCAAAACACCAGAACCGGCATCATTCTTTTAATTTCGCAATTAAAAGAATAAACAAAACCACAGCTGCCAGGTGGCGCGGGCACTCCCAAAAAGGCGCGGGCGCGCCCCAGGGAGGAGCAGGCGCTCTTCACGAAAACTGTAAAATTTCTAAAGGAAGGCAGTGAGGGCGCGGTTTAGGCGCGACCAGCAGCGCAGGCGTGCCAACCAAATGCACGGGTGGTCCACCTGCCGCGTGGGCGCGCCATCTCACCCTTCCAATTTCGCCAAATTCCAGAGAGGTGCGCGGTTAAGGCGTGCTCTCTGCGCGGCCGCGCCTAACTTGTGCAGTCGCTCTTTTATGGTTGCGATCGCGCAAACCATCAACAATCTAAATATATAACAATCCTCCCCCATTTAGAGTGTTTCTCTCTAACATTCTCCACTTCTAACAATTAAGTTACATCTTATGCATCAATGCCAATGTCCCTTCGGATTAAATTGACACCTAGTACAACACACTTAACGATGATCATATTCCATGATTTCCATATGGATTGAATCACACGAATATATCCAACCATTCGAAGGTGAAGTATACACAAGACAAATCAAATTTATCATCACTTGACACTTTTATACAGCCATTTGTCCGTATCTTTCATAAGTTCATCAAAGTCTATATATCCATCTAGACTTCTTGAAGCGGCTAAACTTCGAACTTATATAGGTAGGTTCTCATATATGTAATAGTGTCCTTGTGACAAGACACCGTCATCTAGAGCTTCTCAACTCTAGATCTTTAAGAACTTTAAATAGACGCTACCTAACACATCACAAGTAACATAGCAACATGGGTCAATGAACATTGCTAACAAACATCAAAATTGCAATTAAACCACATTGAATCTAAGACTTGATGTTTCTTCAAGCGTTAGATTGGGTTTCACAAATTTGTGTTTTTGGACATAAACCCATTGCATTCAAAGCAAAATTAATGGAATGCCTTGGCATTGCTTTAGTAAAGCAATCCGCCAAATTCAATTTTATAGGAACATAGTCAAGACTTATGACCCCATCATTGATAAGCTCTTTCACTAGGCTATGCCTAAGTGAAATATGTCGAGACTTACCATTATACACTTGATTATATGCCTTTATTAAAGCCGATTTCGAATCACAATGGATTGCCACCGGTGACATTGGCTTAGGCAATAAAGGCAACTCTAACTTGAGATTTCTCAACCACTCAACTTCCTTACTAGCTGAGGCACGAGCAATAAACTCTGCTGCCATAGTGGAATCAGCAATGCAAGTTTGTTTCTTGGAAGACCATGAAATGGCACCTCCCCCAAACATGAATACCCAACCACTCACAAAAGAGTCATCCTCTTTGTAAGTGATCCAACTTGCATCAGAATAACCTTCTAAAACCGAAGGAAATAAAGTGATTACTTCCCCCACCACGGTGCTTGGGTTGAAACCGGAAAATCACTTTGAGATACAATAGACAACACTACAATCTTTGCACTTAAATTTGTAGTAAGATGATCAAATTCTCAAAGAATAACTTAAGTGATAGAGATTTCTATAAGAGATTGCAAGTTTTTTAGAGAAAAGTGTGAAGAAAAGTGAAAACTTGGAGAGGAAAATCAGAGAGAAAAAAACCAGAACCGGCATCATTCTTTTAATTTCACAATTAAAAGAATAAACGAAACCGCAACTGCCAGGTGGCGCGGGCGCTCCAAAGAAGGCGCGGGTGCGCCCCAGGGAGGAGCGAGCGCTCGTCACGAAAACTGTGAAATTTCTAAAGGAAGGCAGTGAGGGGCGCGGTTTAGGTGTGACCAGCAGCGCGGGCGCGCCATCTCACCCTTCCAATTTTGCCAAATTCCAAAAAGGTGCGCGGTTTAGGCGCGCTCACTGCGCGGCCGCGCCTAACTTGCGCAGGCGCTCTTTCATGGTTGCGATCTCACAAACCATAAACACTCTAAATATCTAACAAGTACTGGGCGAATGTCTGTTTTTAGACAAGAGTGGTAACCGTAGTCATCCGTCCTTCCTCAACGGGCTTGTTGTTGATGATCTTCCGATTAATGAGTTCTCTTGGGGTTCAGCTTCTCTAGCATATCTATATCGCCAGTTGGGTACGGCATCAAGAAAAGATGCATAATCAATCGCTGGTTGTCTCACGCTTCTGCAGGCGTGGATCTACGAGTACTTTCCGTGCTTCCGGCCTCAGCAGGGTACCTTGACGAGGGAGCTTAGTATTCCTCGCGCGTTTGCTTGGGATGTGGGATCAGGATGCCCCAACAAGAGCATGGAGCGCCTCCTCACTTTTCGTGCTAGATTGGATCAGCTGACTGACAATGAGGTTAACTGGCTACCGTACGGAGTTGATCCTGCACGACGCGTGCCAGCCACTCTATTTATTGGTTGCATCCAGTACCGTAGCATCATTGAGCCATACATGCCTGATCGAGTGGTCCGACAACTTGGATTCGTGCAGGACATTCCAAGGACCATTACCAGGCCCGAGATGGCCAAGAGATCTACAAACTTGAAGATATATCGGGTAGACTTTCCGACCGAGATGACATCTGTGATGTGGACTCGGTTTGTCCCTGGTTCGTCTTTCAGTGTTGTTTTAGGTGCCCTCACCCAGACTTGGTGGTGGAGCTCCTACGGTCGGACCTGGTTACACGCAGTGGCTATACCGATTTTCTCATCCTCGTCTTTCTCCTGGTGGATCATCAGATGGGAGTACCAGACTACTTGAGAGGACTAACACGGACTATGTAAGTAGTTGTGTTTTATTATACTATAAATACCACTTAAACAAATTGTAATTTCTATAATTAATATGTTGTTCTCTTATATGCAGTGGATGGGTCGGTCCATGGAGATTCACCGAAGAGCACTGGATGAGTATCCCAGCATGTCGCGTGAAACAAGGGCAATGACTGAGCAGGTGATATTTGACTGGAATGCGATGATGGGGTTGTGAATTACTTGTCTTTTAGTTTTATATTAGCTGATAGTCATTGTTTTACACTACTTTTTATTCAGCATGTAATTTAAGAACTGGAGACTTATTTAATATTTGGTTTTGTTGAAACTTTGTTTAATTACTTTTATTGATTTATATTACGTAGCTACAACTTTTCAACCTAAGTCAAAGTACATAAATGAGTTCACTGCCTAATCAATGCATCCCACATGTTCCTTCTAACTTCATATCGCTGATCCCATCCGTCAACACTTGGCTCGTGGTGCTCGGTCCACCATCCTGCAATCGGGGAAAGAGGTGAATTTTCTGCAAGATCAATACGGATGAAATTTCGTTTTATGACAAAGCCATGTTCTCTCAACATAACTAATCACTACCGGATAACTTGCCCACCGAGCTTTCATTGTATCTACAGCAGCATTATAATCCGCCTCGGTTGCAGCATCCATGATGCGTTTCCATTTGTCGTTTTTGAAACTTACACCGATCCTCTTGTTTTTGAACATATCAGTGACCCGAGCCTCCACATCTTTGTTAATGTGCCATCGACAAAGTAAATGCGACGTCCCTGGAAACACTTCTCTCAATGCCGCACAGAAACCAAGCTCACGGTCTGTCAAAAATACCGAGGGTTCCTTATCATGCCCAATCAACTCTCTTAATCTCTGCAAAACCCACCGATAGCTTGCCGTGCACTCGTTGCGCATGAATACATAACCGATGAGGAAATTTTGATTTGTCGGTGTCACACCAACTATCTCAAAGAATGACATCCCGTATCGGTTGGTCTTGTAAGTAGAATCCATACCGATCACATGTGGGTACGTGCGTAGTATGTTTACCGTGATTGGGTGCACCATAAACGCATGCTGTAGAACGTCAAGATCATCAGACATGACCCAGTAAATATACTGACTCTGTCTCGCAAAATGAAGAAATTGCTGAACAACTCCTCTCCCATCAGACATCTCCGTTCTCAAGTCATTCCGGCAATTATAAATATGTCTGATGTTTGGATGATCATCAGGAAATTGCTCTGCAATAGTCGCCATGATGTTACGCGGTGCAACCTTTGACTTTGTCATGTGACGCACAACCTTCTTCGCATCCGGGCTCAAGCCACTAATTTTACGATGACCCTCCTGATACACAATCATTGGATGGTTATGGGTCCCAGTTGCATCATTTTTTGCTCGGATCTTCCAACTATTGGTGATGAACTCATAATATATCTTGATGTAGAAAGGACATCCATTGACTTTGGTTTTTATGCCCTTCCGAATTGCGTTCTCAAGATCTCTTGGCTTGCTCTTTCGTCCCCGATCACATCTCAAATATCGATACGGTTGACCATCTCTGGTTTTGTTGTAAGACGATTTAACCAAAATAAATCCCAGATTTATGGCAACAGCATCCGCCCATTTAACTGCATCATCAAACGTTGGAAAAAACGTGTCTATGACAAAATTCGCACTATAATTCACACCGTCACGGCCGTCTTCAAACTCCGAATCCTATAAAAATAAAAGAAAACACACAAAACACTCCAATATTAGTATTTTAATTATAATATTAATAACAATATTCATAAAACAACAACAACAACAACAACAACAATAATAATAATAACAATAATAATAATAATAATAATAATAATAAAAATAATAATAATAATAATAATAATAATAATAATATCACAATATTATCACAACATTAACCAATATCATAACATTAACCAATATTAACTAATATTAACTAACATCATCTAACACTAATATTAACTAATATCACAACATTAACTAATATTAACTAACACTAACATTAACTAATATTAACTAACATCATCTAACACTAATATTAACTAATATCACAACATTAACTAATATTAACTAACACTAACATTAACTAATATTAACTAACATTAACATAAACTAATATTAACAAAAATAACTAATAATAACAATAACAATATCAATAATAATAATAATAATAATAATAATAAAAATTAATAACAATTACAAACCACATTTTTTGCGCAACCCAATTTATGCTCACCAATCCGGATGTTCTGGGCGGAAGTCCTATTTTCAGAAAAAAAAAAAAAAATTCTACGACTTACAGATTCTTCCGACTATGCCTCCGGTGTACGATCGTTGTCGTCGTTCATCGTCCAAAACCCGTTGCTGAACCTTGATAATTTTTTTTTGAAAAAATTTTGATTTTTGGTGGTGGGCTCGGGAATTTTTTAAAGCAAGTGGTGGGTCAAAGTGCTCGGGAATAATATTAAAATGCTCGAGAATCTTTGTGACAAAGTGGTGGAGCCTTATATAGCCCAAATAAAGACAAGGGCAAAATGTAACTTCATATTAAAATGGGAGTGGCGCCTTGTAAATTGGGAGCAAAGAATAGCAATTCACAATATTAATTAGTGGAAAGTGGGCCCCGCTAATTGAATTTGTTAACGACAAGGTTCCTGTATGGAAACTAAACCTAGAAATTCTTGTGTGGACCTGGTCTACAATAATATTATTGTGGACCTGAGATCTATGTACACGCAGAATTAACGTTATTTGAAACGTAGTGACCGTAATTTTAACATATTATCCTTATTTTTTAACATAGTAACCTTTATTAAAACTTGTGTGACTTTTAACGTTATTTATGTTTACATCCCAAAAAATTATCCTCTTATAGCTTTTATAATGTCATGATCGCTTTTATTTCAACATAATAACCTTTATTTTAATGTAGTGAATTTTTTTTTTATTAATAAAACAATCATAATATCTCTAATATTAGTGATCCACAATAAATTTGTGTGAACCAGGTCCATTTAAGAATTTGTAAACTAAATTTACTTTGCGGATTATAATGTGAAAAGTGCTATATAGAGGGGCACAACATAGAAAAATGAAATTAAGAGGGTTAATATATAAAAAAGCCCAAAAAATTATAAAACTAAGCTGAGAACTTTTCTCTCTCTAGCTAAGACTTTCTCTCTCTAAACTCTTTCTTTTTCTGCCATGGCGAAAAAAAATTGAACTGCTATTCGTCGTTCGCAAATTACTGGGTGACGTTCACATTTTTAATTGAAATGACATTTTTGCCCTTGTGGGTATTTTATCTATTTAAGGGTCCACCATGGGTAAATTTAGTTACCGACAACATTAAAAACATTACCGAGCCCACCACTTGTGTTAAAAAAATCCCGAGCATTAAAAAATCCCGATTCCACCATTGTACGGTAATCCCGAGGAATTTTAAAATCCCGGGCCAGAAAAGGAAAGTGTACGGAGTGATGTTTTACGATGGACGATGACAACGGTCACACGCCGGAGGGTTCGACGGAAGAATCTGTAAGTATTTCGGAATTTTTTTTTTTTTGTAAATAGGACATCCGCTTGATTTTTCCGGAAATCTGGGGGAGATCCGCCCAAAATTTCCGGATGTCCCCAATAACATCCGGAAATTTCAGGCGGATGTACACATCCGGATGAAATTTCCGGATGTAATTAGGGACATCCGGAAATTTTGGGCGGATCTCCCCCAGATTTCCGGAAAAAAACAAGCGGATGTCCTTTTTTTTTGTTTTTTTTACGTAATTGTTATTGTTATTGTTATTATTATTATTATTATTATTATTATTATTATTATTATTATTATTATTATTATGGTTATTAATATTAGTTTTGTTAATTTTGTAAATTTCTGTTATGATTATGATTATTATTAATATTATTACTACTATTATTATTACTATTGTTGGTATTATTATTATATAAGTTATTATTTGTTAATGTTACGTAGTTATTGTTGTTATTATTATTAGTATTATTATTGTTATTGTTATTATTATTATCATTAGTATTATTATTGTTATTATTATTATCATTAGTATTATTATTGTTATTGTTATTATTATTATTATTATTATTATTATTATTATTATTATTACTATTAATACTATTAATATTATTATTGTTATTTTTATTATTATTATGATTATTTGTATTATTATTGTTATTATTATTGTTAAATTTAAAATTGTAATCCTTGCGTGTTTTATTTGTTTGTATTGTTATTTTGATAGGATTCGGAGGTTGAAGACGACAGTGACGTTGTGAATTACAGTGCACATTTTGTGACAGACACGGTTTTTCTAACGTTTGACGATGCAGTTACATGGGCGGATGCTGTTGCAATAAATCTGGGATTTATTTTGGTGAAATCGTCTTTCAACAAACAGAGGGATGGTCGACCAGTTCGATATTTAAGATGTGACCGGGGACGCAGGAGTAAGCCGAGAGATCTTGAGAACGCAATTCGGAAGGACACCAAAACCAAGGGCATTGGTTGTCCTTTCTACATCAAGATATGTTACGAGTTCGTCACCAATACTTGGTTTATCCGGGCGAAAGATGATGTAACTGGGACCCACAACCATCCAATGATTGCGTATCCAGAGGGTCATCGTAAAATTAGTGGGTTGAGCCCGAATGCGAAGCAGGTTGTGCGTGACATGACGAAGTCTAAGGTTGCACCGCGTAACATCATGGCGACTATTGCGGAGCAATTTCCTGATGATCATCCAAACATCAGACACATCTACAACTGCCGGAATGACTTCAGAGAAGAGATGTCTGATGGGAGAGGAGTTGTTCAGCAATTTCTACATTTGGCGAGACAGAGTCAGTATGTTTACTGGGTCATGTCCGATGATGAAGGCGTTTTACAGCACGCTTTTATGGCGCATCCAGTCATGGTAGACATCCTACGGACGTACCCCTATGTGATCGGTATGGATTCCACTTACAAGACTAACCGATACGGGATGCCGTTCTTTGAGATAGTTAGCGTGACACCGACAAATCAGAATTTTCTCGTCGCTTATGTGTTCATGCGCAACGAGAGCACGGCAAGCTATCGATGGGTTTTGCAGAGGTTGAGAGACGTGATTGGGTATAATAAGGAGCCGTCGGTTTTCTTGACAGACCGTGAGCTTGGGCTATGTGCTGCATTGAGGGAAGTGTTTCCAGGAACCTCGCACTTACTTTGTCGATGGCACATTAACAAAGATGTGGAGGCTCGGGTCACTGCTATGTTCAAAAGCAAGAAAATTGGTGCGTCTTTCAAAAACGGAAAATGGAAACGTATCATGGACGCTGCAACCAAGGAAGATTATGAGGCCGCTGTAGAAAACATGAAAGATAAGTGGGCAAGTTTTCCAGCAGTGATACAATATGTAGAGAACACATGGCTTTGTCATAAAACGAAGTTCGTGACATTTTGGACAAACCAAGTTCTACATTATGGCAACACCAGCACTTGTAGAGTTGAGAGCCAACATTCGGCCGTGAAGATGTGGTTTGATTCCTCGACAGGTTTGGTGTAAGATTATTGAACTTCATGTATGTACTTTATTTTAGGAATTTGAGTTACAAATCATAACGGTTTTTCTTTGTAATGTGCAGGTTCTTTAGATACCGTATGGGCTCGAGTTCATAGCCACATTGGTAATCAAATCATCGCAATTCGTAATGGTTTGGAGGCTTCTAGGTCGAAGATAGGTCAAAAGTACCGACAGTTGCCACTGTCACGTATAAACGGGAAGGTGTCTCAGCATTGTTTGAAGGTTCTCGATGAGGAGACAAGGAGGATGAGGGAGCTGAGTTATCAAGTGCACGAACGATGTGGATGTGCAATGCGTGTGACCCACGGGTTGCCCTGTGCATGCCAGATACATGATTCGCTAGCTGCTGGGACAAGATTGTACATAAAGCAAATTCACCCGTTTTGGAGGACCTTGGTTATTGGTTCTGGAGATGGTGGGACGGTGCCTGGCAATGACTTGACCGAGGATGCCGCACATTTTCGTTCTCTGATGGAGGAGGTGTTTGATAGCGATCCTGCTGTTCTTCGAAACGTGTCTCGCATCATTGAAGAGGAGCTGCATCCGGATCATTCCGATCTCAGAGAGCCTGCTGTAAACCACCGGGTTCGTGGTCGACCAAGAAACAATGATACAAGACGTGATCGTTCTTATTTTGAACATGTAAACCGCCAACACACTGAACGCGGCGCACGACAAACAGGTACGATTGAGTGTTGTGTTTTTCACATAAATCAGCGTTCACTAAACTATTAACTGAAACCTACATTTGTGCAGGAGATGTAAACGACATTAGCCAAAGCCGTTATCGACACATGCTTCCAGGGCCGATGTTGCCTTACATCACAGGATGGAAGGATGTCATTGGCGATGGGAACTGTGGGTTTCGTTGTGTGGCCGAGTTCTTCTTCGGTGATCAAGGCCAATGGTATGACGCTCGAGAGACAATAGCGAATGAGGTCCTCGGTTATCGAGCCCTATATGAGAGGATTTATGGGCTTGGAAGACTTGAGATCAATGTGCAGCGTATTCGATGGAACGGTGGGGCGGTTGATTCCCGTCATTGGATGGTTGCAATACAAGATTTATTTCCTATTGCGACTTGGTTCAACGCAGCGGTTATTATTCTTGGTGTAGGCCAAACACCAACTTGCTACTACCCATGCCTCACGATATTGCCGTTGCGGGCAAGAAGGGGGGTCACAGCACCGGAGCGAGAGTTTGTCATCGCTACAGTTGGGGCCTCACATTTTATTTGTATTGAACTTGCACCTGATTCGCCACTTCCCCCGGTTGCAGGTTGGTGGATTGAGCACCACGGCCCAAGTGTTGACGGTTGGGATCAGCGTTACGAAGCTAGAAGGAACATGTGGGATGCCTTAATTAGATAGTGAACATGTTGTTGTACTTTCATTTATGTTAAACAGTTGTCGTTATGTAATTTGCAACGAATTGAACTTAATTAAACAAAATATTTACAAAACCACCAAAACAGTTGTTCAATACTTAAAGTACGTGACGAATAAATAGTACATAAAAGAAATGCGTACAAGGGAAATAAAAAAAAAAAAAAAAAAAAAAAAAAAAAACAGGAAGTTCACAACCCCATCATCGCCCTCCAATCAGCTCGTAGCGCCTCAGCCATTGCTCTTGTATCACGCGATAGGCTCGGATACTCCTCCAGGGTCCTGTTGATGACCTCCATAGACCGACCCATCCACTTCAATTAAAAAAACAACATATTAAATAAATCACAAGTTTTTTTTAAAAAAAACAACATATTAAAAACAACATATTAAAAAAATCGGATTTTAAAAACAACATATTATAAACAACATATTAAAATAGCAACTTATTAAATTATACCAAAAAATACAACTACTTACGTAATCCGTGTTAGTTCTCTCTGGCAGTGTGCGACTCTCATGTGATGACGCAACTGGAGAAACACGTGGATGAGAAAATCGGTACAGCCACTGCATGTAACCAGGACCGACTGTAGGAGCACCACCACCAAGTCTGCTGAGGGCACCTACCACGACACTAAAAGACATACCAGGGACAAACCGAGTCCACATCACAGATGTCATCTCTGGCGGAAAGTCAACCCGATACATCTTCAAGTTCGTCGGTCTCTTAGCCTTCTCAGGCCTGATAATGGCTAGTGGAATGCCCTGGACGTATCCAAGTTGCCGAACCACTCGATCAGGCATGTATGGCTCAATAATGCTACGATACTGGATGCAGCCAATGAAAAGAGTAGCAGGCACGCGTAGTGCTGGATCAACTCCGTATGGTAGCCAGTTAACTTCATTGTCAGTCAAATGATCCAACCTAGCCCGAAAAGCGAGAAGGCGCTCCATGCTCTTGTTAGGGCACCCCGATCCAACATCCCAGGCGGACGCACGAGGAATAGCAAGCTCTCTGGTCAAGGTCCCCTGCTGAGGCCGGAAACACGGAAAGTACTCGTAGATCCACGCCTGCAGAAGCATAAGGCAGCCAGCGATAGAATCAGCATCTTTTCGTGATGCTGTACCCAATTGCCGGTACATGTATGCTAGCACAGTAGAACCCCAGGAGTACTCACTAATCTGAACATCCTCAACAAACAGCTCGTTGAGGAAGGAAGGATGAGTACGGTTTCCACTCTTGTCCAAAAACAAACAACCGCCGAGTACTAACCACAGGTACGCCCTGTAATGGAAACTGAAGGGCCTCTGCGCCTCCAAGGTCGACTCCACTATCCTCTCAGTCAGGACCCCACTACCCTGCCATACGGTTTTGGTACCGCACTTCTCATTCAGCTCTTCCTCAGTCATATCCAAGGTAACCGAGCACGCGTCCCGTAAAACGTCCGTGCTAGGAGTAGTGGAAACCATGGAACCGTCGACACGAAGCCCTAGAATATGATACACATCATGCAGCATGATCGTGATCTCCCCAAAAGGCATGTGAAACGTGTTCGTGTCTGGCTGCCATCTCTCAACAAAAGCAGAAATTAAGGGCCAGTCAAATCGCCGGAACATGATCCCGGGTAAATGAGATAGACCAGTGCCATCAATCGGTTCCAGGTGCTCCGGCGGAAGACGAGCGCGCCAGTTACCCAATTCAGAACACAACTGTGTCCTGCTCAAACACCGCAGCACGTTTCGCTCCTGCCCACCCCATATGTAGGCAGACACGTGACCCCCAAAACTCGGAATAACGGTACCATCCTCAGGCCCACCTGGCATCGGCTCCTGCACCACCCATGACTCTGACGAGCTGGTAGAAGCTTGACCTGGTTCACTACTGCTAACATATCTCCCATGGTCACCCCTATACACAGTACGGTAATCCTGAGGGTCGTACTGTGCATCTCCAGTAGATTGACTTCCTCGATCTTCATCCTCATCCTCATCTGATGAAGGCACTCCAGTAGACGAATACATGGGGGCGCTACCCTGTGACTGGTGCTCCCCCGACCAAGCACCAGCAGTCCCATACTACTGCTCATGCTGAAACGGTGCATGTGAAGGTCCTGCACCACCTAACTCCCTCCTAACAGACACATTCAAACGTCTTGATCTTGCATGACGAGGACCAGAACCCTCAATCTGCATTAAAAAAATAAGTACGAAATCATATTTCAATCATAATTCATAGTAAAAAAAAAATCAAATCAAAACTATAATAAATCAAATCAAATAAACAATAATAACAACATTACAAATAATAACAATAATATTATTCTTACAATACTAATACACTAACAATAACAACACACTAACACACTACAAATAATTTCAACACAATAACAGACCAAATCAAAACTATAATTAACCACAAAACTGCCAAAATTTAAACGCAACAACGACAACCCAATAAAAAAAAACAATTACAATAACAACAATTTAAGTAAACAACCATAATACATAACAACAACAACAACAAAAACCAATACAAACCAAACCAAATTTACATAACAATAACAATACATAGCAACAACAAACTTACTTTAATGCTAAACTATAATTATTGTAAAACTATAATTATTGTAAAACTAAATCAACAAAAATTACATATCAATAACTATTGCAAAACTAAATCAAGAAAAAAATTATTTTAATGCCACAAATGAAGGACACAAATTACTTCAAAAAAAAATTAAAAAAAAAAATGAAGGACACAAATATTTTCAAATTAAAACATGCACCAAATCAACAAAATCGAGGACAAAAAGAAAAAATAAGAAAAACATAAATTACAAAACAAAGGAAAAACAGAAAACAAAAAAAAAAGGTGGAAAAACAGAAAAACACAAAAACCAAAAAAAAAGGGGGAAAAACAGAAAAAAAAAAAAAAAAAGGGGGGGGGAATAACAGAAAAATAAAAAAAAAACCTGAAAACTGGACTTTCGCCCAGAAAATCCGGAAGTCCAGGGGAACTTCCGGAAATTTCAGGCGGAAACCCCACTTCCGCCTGAAATTTCCGGAAGTTCCCCTGGACTTCCGGAATTTCTGGGCGGAAGTCCCCTTGTCCAGAAATTTTTTTTTTTCAAAATTCAAAAATTTAAAACAAAAAAAAAACTCACCGGCTCGCCGCCGCTAACGCCGCCACCACGACCACCAAACGTCAGCCTAATTCTCCGTCGGTCTGCCATTGTCGGATTCAACGTTTGATTGCAAGATTTGCTTGTGTTTGAGTAGCCTTCAACTATTTTGGTTTTTTTTTTTAAAAAAAAAATTTCTGATTTTTTTTTTTTCAAAATTTCAGATTTTTTGGAAGGTTTTAGAGAGAGAAAGTGTCAAAGAGTGATTTTGTGAGATGGGAAATGTCTCGTAAAGCCCTAACTTACTTTATCGAGTATTTATATACGGAGGGCAATTTAGGAAATTCATGTAAAAAATGTGAACGTCACCTAGTAAAATACGAACGACGTTTAACAACACCCATAAAAAATCTAGGAAGGAACCGATCAAAGGGGAGGGAAGTGAGGTTCGAAAGCAAATTGATGATGGTCTGAAAGAAGCGCAAGCTAGTAGTGCGAGATCGAAGGCTAATTCTCAAGGAGTTGCGAGTATTCCTCCACCCGATTTTGGAATTCTGACAATTTGGATGATTTGATCTTAACTCCAGAGCAATAGATTCAAGAATTGATTCATGGGTCTAGGATGAAGTCGAAGCTGTCAGAATGGTTGAATGTGATGAAATCCAAAGAGAGTCGTGCTGCAAACCCAGAAACAGAGGATGCTGGAAATAGAGCAATTGAGGTACGTGCTTCGAATTCGTTTAAGGAGGCTAATTCTCCATTACTGCAATTGTTAGTTGATGATGTTTCGTATGACATTGCGTATTGTAATTTGGGAATTATTGGTTATGTAATTGGGGCTAATCCTTTTTGGGGTACAATTTCGGGTTTTTGTAAGCGATTGTGGGGGGTGAAAAACATTGATAAAGTGATTGCGTTGAAGAAAGGGGTGTTTCTGATTCGATTTCTGAATGTTGAATCCAAAGAGAAAGCGCTCAATACGTCAAATGTGTTGTTTGATAATCACCCTGTTTTTCTGAAACAATGGGAGGATGGAATGGAACTTAGTACTGCTGAATTTACTAAGGTACCTGTATGGATTCACTTACCTGATTTGCCTTTGAAGTGTTGGGGTAAGAATTGTTTGGAGAAGATTGTAGCTGTAGTAGGAAAACCGATTAAACCTGATTCTGCGACCCAGTTGAAAGAGAAATTGCTATATGCTCGATATTTGGTAGAAGTTAAAATTAATGGTGATTTTCCTGATGTGATTGAATTTTTGTCTGAGAATGGAATTTTGTTCAGGCAGAAAGTTGTTTTTGAATGGAAACCTGTTACCCGTAGAGTGTGTAATAAGATGGGTCACAGTGAAGATGCATGTGGTCAAGTCAGGAAGGAGTGGAGACCTAAAGCAAATCAGAACCAGCAGAAACTTGTTCCTACTCCTGAGAAGGAATGGGAGATTGCTGGAAGTAAGAAGTAGAAAAGTGGAGCAAAGGATAAAGGAACCTCTGATAATGGATTAAAGGTTCAGAATTCATTTGAGAAGTTACATCAGTTAGAGGACATGGAATTTGGAGATGGTCTAGGTGGGGTGGCCCCGGATTTAGGACAGGAGGAATTTGTAGATGGATACACCCCATTCATAATCCATGAGATTACTAACTTTATATGGTTCGGAACCACGAAAGGAGGATCGGGATGATGGTACGAAGTGAGTTATGGAGTCACATTCGCCCGTATTAGCCTCTACTCGATTCTTATGGTGAAAAGTGATTCCTGCAATCTCAAAGGCATTTAAACAAAGATTCAATTTTCTCCAAACTAATATTATGCTAAATTAGGTGAATGTTAATGCAACATTTAATCCTAAAATATTAGTGATCACTTGATTAACAATATTAAAAAGGATCCTAAACCGGTCATCCAAATTATCTTATTAAGCGTGATTTTCAATTACACATTCCCTTTAACATGCAATATGGTGATCAACAAATATAATAGAAAAGGCAATAATATTGGAAGCAATTTAACCATAATAACATTAGTCAAATCAAAGCTTTATAATAAACCTAATCACGATACTAACAATAAGAATAACAATAAGAGTAATTAAGTGAATTAATTACTCACGTTCCAAGCTTCTTTAAATTGCTACATCATGAATAAAAACGTTAGTAACTTCAAAGAATAATAAATAAGATTAAAGGAAAATAGAGTTGATTTGGTCCAAACCCTCAATCGGTTCTGCCTTTCACGCCTTGGTTTAAGTATGAAACTTCGGGTGTTGTATGGACTCCGAGAAGTGCTTAGGGAAGGAATAGTAAAATTAGGAGAATAGGTTTAAGGCTTAGAATGAGAGAAAGAGAAATGAGAATGAGTGTTGGTGCCCCGAAACTATGATATCAGCCTCATATTTATAGAGGAAATGAGAGGGGTGACCTCCGGAACCCTAGTAACGAAGTGTCACGGAAGGAATAAACCCTAGAAATTGCCGCGTCACGGCGTAAATTTCCGGGATACAACACATTTTACCGTGACACAATAGAGCCTACCGTGGCATGGCAGATTCCTTTTCTGGAATTTCGTCTAAATTCATCTTTATCTTTTTATTTAGCATTAAGTACGAGATAATTAGGCGCCATTTCAATGTTCTAAACTTATTAATCGGGCTCAATTAATAAATAGAATGAAATGGATTAAAAAGGTTTGGGCTGAAATGAGGGTTGGACTATGCTTTGACTAGAAACTTGGACTGATCTGTTGACTGATTTGTAGAATGTGTTTGACTGAAAAAGGATTTTAAGCACTCTCGAGATTAAATACTCGACTTGACCAATAATGGCGGTGAAAGGTTGTTTATCATCGGGTTTGGTTTTGGGGAGACATTTTTAGGTGCATACAGAATCCCCCACTTTGACCGAGTTTGTCGAAACGTAAGTTTTAAAAACGAAAGTCAAAGTAGTTGATTGGGGCGGAGAATGATTTAAGACTTTCTGCGATCCTAAACCATTCTGTATACGCCGATACTTGCAGAAAAGCATTAGTTCCACAGATGAAAGATTAGGGGACAATGCATATCTGACACTAGTGCGTCGAAAACAGATATGTTTGATATCTTTCTTTGCCTCGAGAAATCCATCGGATGATAGTCTTCCACGCCTCGAGAATCCTATTGTGAATCCACTAGATGAAAGGTGACAAGTTTCCGCGCCTTGGGAAACGTATCGTAGACTCCTACGCCTCGAGCAGCCTACTAAATGATGATCTTCCGCGCCTCGGGAAGAATGATGAATGATAGTTTTCCGCGCCTCGGGAACCCTATCGCGAATCACTACGCCTCGAGCAATCTACTAGATGAAAGGTGACAGGTTTCCGTGCCTCGCGAAACATGTCGTAGACTCCTACGCCTCGAGCAGCGTACTGAATTATGATCTTCCGCGCCTCAGGAAGACTGATATGAGATAGTATCCGCGCCTCGGGAATCCTACGTGAGCTCCTACGCCTCGAGTAACTCACAAGTGAAATTCCATATTCCGAGAATAACTAAGTGTCCGCGCCTCGGGACACAATTGCAGACCTCTACGCCTCGAGAAGTATGCAACAATCGACCATTTTTCGCACCTCGGGAAAACATGTCTGATGATGAAAGATTACAAGCCTCTACGCCTCGAGAAACTTGCAACGTGAATCTTCCGCGCCTCAAGACGACCACTGAGTGTTTAATAAATGAATGGTTCGATTGTCCCCGAATGTGAGCTGTAGATTTGTTTGCTCGATTGTCCCCGAACAGAGGCTGATGATATAATTGCTCAATTGTCCCCGAACAGAGGCTGATAATATGATTGCTCGATTGTCCCCAAACAGTGGCTGTAGATATGTTTGCTTGATTATCCCCGAACAGAGGCTGATGAAATAGTTTGTTCGATTGTCCCCAAACGTAGGCTAAGGAAATAGTAGTACGATTTTCCCCGAACATAGGTTGTACTGAGACCTGCAAAATGTAATTTGCCAATGGACTTGTATAAACGGTGATTAACTCAAGACAGAACAATTGACTCAACTAAGCTTGACTTAACACGACATGAAATGTGTATGACTTGTGACTATGTGGGTATACGTAGAGTTTGAGTGTCTGCGCAGACACAAGAAACTGAAAATTCAAAAAAATTTCGTCATTTTTTTTCATGAGTGGAGGGTACCGACTTTCTCCCGAAAAAGAAAGACGTGAAAAATGAATTAAAAGTTTTTAAAGTTTCCTCGATAAAAAATTTGAAAAAGTTTTTGAACTTCCCCAAAAGAAAAAATTTAGAAAAGTGTTTGAAGTTCCCCAAAAGAAAAAAATTTAGAAAAGTGTTTTAACTTCCCCAAAAGAAAAAAGATTAAAAATGGGAAGAAGTTTTGAACTTCCTCGTTGAGCAAAGCGAGGTGAATCGCTCATCTTGAAAATAATGTATGCATGATGAATGTTCTTAGGCCAGGAGGCTAAAGACAATTACATCATGTAACACGATCAATGAATGCACCTAGGTCAGGAAGTTAAGCACAGTATAATCTTAGCTTATTGTCGATGTATGTTGCTTAGGTTAGGAAGCTAAGCATCATATATAGTGTACAATCTTGGATGTTGCTTAGGCCTCGAAGCTAAGCACGTATACAGTGGTGATTGCTGAGTAGTGTCTTACAAGATGAATCATGCGCGTTGATGAAACAAGATTTCATGATAATGGGATCCTAAGGGAAGGAGGATATGGCCGTGTATGTGTGAATGAAGTGTGTGAAAGTGATACTAAAGTTAGGCTGCAAAGGTTGTGGTGATGGAAATAAATGTGAGAAGAGTCGAGATGGTGACTCTTCAGGCTAGGTAGGCTAATGATGTGGGTTCAAGCCCCCAAGTCTAGCCCTATATGGATAGGGATGAGCATCGAAAATTCTTTGACTCGATCATGCATGAATGTGAATGTGGCCGCACCTCGATGTGAGGTTGTCTACGTAACTGTTAGGAATCAGGCCAAACGTAGCTCTAGCCGAACTTCAAGTGTATGTACACCTCAAAGAGGTCTTTCAAGGGTTGTGATGTGGTTAAGGCTGATGATTTAAAGAAGAAAGAGGTAAAAAGCTCAAAACCCTATATAAGCCCCCAAGATGTGTAATTGTGTATTTGAAATTTGAAATTGTAAGCTTTATTTTGTCACCTCATTTTTTTTAGCTTTATTTTTGCTTTTGTCTTTTATTAATTAATGTGGGCAATCCCGGATCATGCGGTCCATCACTCACTTAGCATCCATGTTTCTCATGCATGGTACCAAGCACTCGATCTGAGACACAAACGTATTCATATCAAAGACATTGGAACACTTGCCCTTAGACATCGTTTTATTTTTATTTATTATTATTTTTTCGCTTTTTCTT